GACGCGCTGATGAGATCCAAAAAGATCGAAATCGCGATCCGCGTCTGGCAGTTTCGACAGAATACAGACCACTTCGAATTATTTTGTTCGATTATGGTAACGTGCCTATCACGTTGAGGTGAGCTACGCCGGGATTAGTTTCAGCAAGTAGATATCCATATTTTTAAATGGACCTTGTTGGAGCATATGTAATCCTCAAATGTAGCATCGTACTACAGATGGCGCTCACCACGCCATTTGTAGTATTTTCTTTTTCTTTTTCAGTTTAAAGTGTAGTTTGATCCACCACACGGTTGTACTCATCCACTTTCAGGCCACTCCATATAGGGATCTCGGTGGTCTTCTCTAATGAGCAGATAGTCTGTGTTCTCGTACTGCATGTAGACCACTTTCCAATGCTGGAGAATTGCTCGATTTCTTGTGAAGAATTTATACATAATCGTTATCTCTGTCCACGTCATACTACATCACTGTTATGTTGTTGACGACTTACGTTCCGACCAAATGTTCATTCAACTTAAAAAAAAATTAATGGAGATAGAGTAGGTAGGTGATTGATGATTAACAGTCCTCGCCACATCCTCATCTAGAATTGACGATCTCCCGTTTTTACCAGCTGTAAACTCCATACACCACCTACAAACGTTTCTGACATGCATGAACCGTGCACGACTTCTTCAATTTCTGAAACATTTCGATAAGCCTAACATTTATTACGTATAAAAACCGAATTTCGCATTTGGCAAATGGAAGTTTCATTACGAACAACTGACGAGCAAAGATGAAGCAACATAGCGAAACTTTTGGGTATTTCATTCCCACCAACCACTAATGCTGGCGGGTAGTTCCGGTCTACGTCGGAAGATAGAGCGGAAGGCCCCCTTCAGCTTCCTTTCAAGAATCGTGGGAATGGGTGGTTGGTGGTTCAGGTGAGAAAGATGAAGAAAGAAGAGAATGAAAGATTACATGTGGAATATTACTGCCCCAGCATTTGCCTAAGTGATCCAAGGAAACCACAGAAAAACTTGGATCAAGGCAGACAGACCCGGAATCGAACCGGCCTTCTCCCAAATGCTGAGCAATGAACTAAACTTCTAGACCATGCGCCTCGGTCACCAGAGCGAGTAGACCAAGTAATGACTTTTTTGCGAATGGAGTGTGCAGCAAACACACCAGTGTAACCAACAATAATACAAAAAGTTTCGCCTGGGCTCCAACCCTTTGAATACCTTATTTCTAAGATTATCTTGGTAGGTTACACTAAGTGGGGACAACACTGTCCAATGCAATCAAACTTTTGCTCAACTAAAGATTGCAGATGGGCGCTAGGCCTAATAATTGCATAGATTTAAATTGAAGCGAGATGGATAAGTTTCTAATGATTTCTTACCAAATGGTAAGAAATAAAGCCGGAAAATTTTTGGCATTTTCACAGAATCAACATATTTTAATAGCAATCGTATTAAATAAGACAATATTTAGTTCTACGTAGGTAGTAATCTTGTTCTCAAGTCCACGGACTTTTTCCACGTCAGACGTTTCAGTATCATGTGCACATACCTTCTGCTAGAGTAATACTCAACGACATCAGAACAATACACCATCTTTCTTATTTTCCCAAATTGTCTCATTTACATCGAATATTTTTAATTGGGAATTTGTTTTGGATAAGAATTAAATGATTTTTCACATTAATATTAAATATTTACTATTTAAAGTGTCTTAAAGTATTTCGTAGAAGCTTGTAGTTTAATTTTAAATAATAATTTTTGAGGATCGTTTTTAGCAAGAGCCATTCATCTTCGAGGATCCCGACGCTCCAAAAAAATTCAACGGTTATTGCATTGATCTCATCGACGAAATTGCAAAGCAGTTGAATTTCGACTACGAAATTTATTTGGCAGAAGATAAAAAATTCGGTAATATGGACGACAACGGAAACTGGAACGGTGCTATCAAAGAACTGATTGAGAAGAGAGCAGACATTGTGTTGGGGTCACTGTCGGTAATGGCCGAAAGGGAAAACGTTATCGACTTTACAGTTCCATTTTACGATCTCGTCGGAATTACAATTCTTATGAAACTTCCGGAAACTCCAACATCGCTATTCAAATTTTTAACAGTTTTAGAAAATGACGTGTGGCTTTGTATTCTTGCGGCATACTTCTTTACAAGGTAGGAGTTTTATGGCATTCATTCTGTTTTGTTTTACTGCAAATCCTCAGCTTAATTTCTTTATATTACTTTATGTAGATATAGCAAACTGTCTTCAATTCCTTATTGATTTGGTTTACGTGCCCTTCACGTATACAAATTGCGTTGTCGATTCGCTTGGACAACTAGATAGATAAATTTATCGAGGTTTCCTGTAGCATGCTGATGAGATCAACTTATATCGAAATAGTGATTTGCCTCTGATCATCACGAAAAGGTCATCAGTCCTAAAATTGGTTGGACACGTACATCCACTTTTTCCTATCCTGAGCTAATCTTCGCATTTCCTCCAAACCAGAACAACCCACACCCTTAATTATTTGCGAACAGTAATCTAAACTAGGTCTACCTCTACCCCGTCTAACTCCTCTTTGTGCCTCTAATATATCTTTGACTAGTCCTTCATGTCTGAGAAGGTGTCCCACTTCCATAGAGTCAGTCCTCTGTTCTCCTATTCTTTCTAATATCTTTTCATTTCTAACCTTCTCTATCCATGGTATCCTCATCATTCGCCATTGCAAGACAATCATGTGATTTTTTGGGCTCAATAAAACAAGTTGTAGCTTTCATATTTTCTGCGATAGGGTAAATTCACTAACTACAATGCGGTTGCGTTTTTCATTCAATCAACATTTTTATCAATGAATACATCATTTATTTAAGTATTCCGATGTTCCAGTTTTCTTATGTGGATTTTCGATCGTTGGAGTCCGTACAGTTACCAAAATAACAGAGAAAAATACAAAGACGACGAGGAAAAAAGGGAATTCGACTTAAAGGAATGCTTATGGTTCTGTATGACTTCTTTAACACCCCAAGGAGGAGGTGAAGCGCCAAAGAATCTATCGGGACGATTTGTAGCAGCCACTTGGTGGTTATTTGGCTTTATTATAATTGCTTCGTATACTGCCAATTTAGCAGCGTTTTTAACCGTTTCTCGATTGGATACTCCCATCGAATCTCTTGACGACTTATCGAAACAATATAAAATCCAATACGCACCCACGAAAGATTCATCCACGATGACTTATTTTGAACGAATGGCTAACATTGAAGATCGATTTTTTGAGTAAGTACATTACTAAATTCATTATTAAATTCCTATAGATTACATTAACTAAGGATAAGCAATTATGAGGTGAAGATTTCTTNCCGACCTCATACCTGAGTTGATAAGATCGATTGTGGAATATCAGAATATTTCTAACGCCGCCATAATATTCGATGATTCTTTCGGTAAAAATAACATCAAGAGAACAAAACAATTTGCTTATTGCATTCAAGAAAATTCCTCTATTTAATACGAGGGCTGATCCCTGGTCTATTTACAATAAAAAAAAGTTATTTTAAATTTATTTTTCTACATAGGGTCCATTAGGGTCAATACTTTTTTACCATATTTAACTCTCTTCTCGGAAAAAAGGTACTTCAGTCTCGGAAAATCACTTTATCTCGCAAAAATCGTTTACCACGTCAAAACAGTTAGTAACCAAATTTGACGAAAATAGAGGCCCGTCTTAGTTACTGTAGCTCCTGTAATGACAAATATTTGACTGGGTGAATTATCCTGTTGCATGAAGACACCTATGCGTAACTTCGCCAAAGTTCTTCTTTTATTAATTGTTGTTAATTAAATTGGCATAATATCTATATTTCTCCAGGAAATATTACACCTTCAGAATCCTGAAACACAGGTAATTTTATCTTCCTTGCTGATGGTTGCATCTTCGGTGGTGGAGAGCCTTGATGGATCCATTCCTTATTTTGTATTTTGATCTCCACATCGTAATGAAGGATCAAGACCTAATCCAGCTTTACAAAAATGTTCTTTATCTTGTCTAATCGCAAGTATTTACCGCTCGTTGTTTAACACGTTCTATTTTGGTAGTTTTGTAAGGCTCTCCCAAAATTGATCGTCTATTATAGGTAGGATTTAACAGGTCCAAACTTTTAATTTTGTAGTATTACTCTGTATATAACAAGCTACAATATGACGTGAAAACAAATAATTATTTCGATTTATAATTGAGTCAAGGCTGGAGCAAAGGGGTCAACCCTCGTATTCAAGAATACAGATATAACAAAATCTATTCAGAATTATTACTTTCTTTTCTGATTCTTTTTCGGTTCTCCGTAGTAGTGCCCTTAAGAAAGGCCCACTAAAGGTGCTATGGCTGATTCAAAACTAAAATACTGAAATTTCTAGGTATCCTAATCTGTTTAGATTTTGAAGTTAAGATATCTCAAAATATTGATATGAGGCCAGATTCGAATTGAGAGATAAAAGCTATTCTCTAAATTGTTTTGCCCCTTTTTTTTAAGCAATTATAATCTCAAAAAGGACAGAAACTGCATTTCTTGAGTCAGAAGACTTCGATATCTAAAACTCTTGACGTGTTTCACTTTTTTTTTGTTAAAACCATCTGCGAATACATTTGGAGATACATTTTGTAATAATTTTATACATTTTCGTTGTAATAATCTTATTGCCTTATTTTGAAGTTCTATTTACTGAATATCACAATTTACTTAGTAATGGATCACAAATACAAGTCACTACTCCAGAATGTAGCAACAAGGCACATTATAACGCAAATTGACGATCGTAGTACGAAAGAGCAATTGCAGAATTTAAGAAAGCTTGACATGATGAACTTCTTCATATTGGGGAATTTGTTGAACATACAGAGAGTTCTGGACTCGGCGAATTCATTAGAATATTTCAGTCGAAAGTACGCTTGGCATGCCCTTACTCAAGACAGAGGGGATATGAAGTGTAACTGCAAAAATGCGACGGTCATTTTTGCCAGACCATTCGTTGATAATAGATTTCAAGATCGATTGGGATTACTAAGAACTTCTTATCAACTCAATGCAGAACCCCAGATATCCAGTGCATTTTATTTTGATTTAGCTCTTCATTCATTTATTGCGGTAAAGTAAGTACAATTATATTTAAAAGTACATCTTTATTTAATTTATGACTTTTTGTTAGTAATCAGACGAATGAAGTAGCTTATTAGAAGGAGTGCTTTTGCTTTCACAACCATTATCTTTTTTATAATTTTAAAACAGAATTTTGCTTTTCTTCTTTTATACACAAGGATGTAGTCAAAATTTTATTTTTCATGAGCTAAGAGTGGATCACCCTGCTGTAGATTTTAATTTCCTTGAACTCAAAACGCCTTGAATTCCTTGATAACACAGGTCTGCGAAAATTTTTTTCTTAAATTGTTAATATTTGTCGTAATAGTCTTAAAGTAATAGAAAACGATATTCATATGGTTTATACCACGTCACATTAACCCATAAATGCTCAGAGAACACATTTCCATTTGAACCCTTGCCACGTAATGAGTGCGACGAAAAAACATTCAATAACCAGTGTTTCTATGTTTTTAACGATGCTCGATGGTGTTGCTTAAAAATACCTCCGACAACATTAAAGGATGGAAAGATCGAAAATGAACAAAAAAACGTGATTTATGAATTGACTTTTTTCTTAAAAAGTAATTTTTTGTCCTTACGATTTTTTATATGCTTAAAACCTATATAGATCATGACCTCGATATGTAAACATGAAATAATCACCGTTGGTCAAGTCGAAATGCCTTTACAAGCTGTTTGATCAAACCAAGTTTAATGTAAAGTGGCGGAAGCAATACTTTCTTCTTTCAAACTTGTATTGATGACATTTTTCACTCCGACTTCCAATGGCATTCTAATTTTGACATAGAAATACCAAATAACAATAATTTTGATTTACCATAAGTCCACTGTCTTAACACTTCATCACATAACCGGCATATTTTATCGTAACCCAGTGTTTATCTTGGTGACACAACTTCATTCTGAAGTAAGCTTAATAAGCATTTTTTACAGTTTGTTATATTCAACTTTTGCTTAACTATTGTATATTGTCCGCAAATGTAAATAACTACATTTGAATTGTTTTTACAACTCCAAGAAGTCATGGTTAAAGATAAATAAAACACAATCTTTTATTACACGTTAATATTATATCTCTCTCAATAATGGCGCGCTATAAA